CCAAATCTTATACCAGCCTTGCATCCCTGGGATGAATCCCACTTTGTCATGGTGAATGATATTTTTAATGTATTGCTGGATCCGATTTGCTAATATTTTGTTAAGGATTTTGGCATCTGTGTTCATCAGGGATATTGGCCTGTAGTTTTCTTTCTTTGTAGTGTCTTAATCTGATTTTGGAGTTAGAATTATGCTGGCCTCATAAAATGAGTTTGGATGTCTTTCTTATTCTTGAATTTTTTGGAATAGTTTGAGGAGAATGGGTGTTAGTTCTTCTTTGAATGTTTGGTAAAACTCCCCCATGAAGCCGTCAGGGCCTGGGGCTTTTGTTAGCTGGGAGAGTCTTGATTACATCTTCAATTTCTTTAGTTGTTATTGGTCTGTTCAAGTTTTCTATTTCTCCCAGTTCAGATTTTGGAGACTATGTGTTTTTAGAAATTTGTTCATTTTGTCTAGATTGTTTAATTTGTTGGTGTGTAATTGTTCATAGTATTTGTTAATGAATCTTTGTATTTCTGTGATGTCACTTGTTACTTTTCCTCTTTCATTTCTGATTTTGTTTATTTGGGTCCTCTCTTTGTTTCTTGGTGAGTCTAGCTAAATCAATCTTGTTTATCTTTTCAAAGTATCCACTCTTTGTTTCATTGATCTTTTTCATTGTTCATTTTTTAGTCTCTATGTGATTTATTTCTGCTCTGATTCTTACTATTTCTTTCCTTCTACTTGCTCTGTTTTTTTTATTTTTGTTTGCTTTCTAGTTCTTTAAATTGTGAGGTTAGATATAGTCAATTAGAATTTTTTCTTGTTTTCTGAAGTCGACCTATAGTGCTATGAACATCCCTCTATGTACTGCTTTTGCTGCATCTCACAGATTTTGTGTTGTTGTGTGTTCATTTTCATTAGTTTCCAGGAAGTTTTTAACTTCTTCATTGATCTCCTTGGTAACCCATTCATTGTTTAAAAACATGCCATTTAGCCTCCATGTGTTTACATGTTTTTGCTGTAATTGATTTCTAGTTTCATGCCATTGTGATCTGAGAAGATGCTTGATATGATTTCAGTTTTCATGGACTTGTAGAGACTTAGTTTGTGTCCTAACATGTGGTCTATCTTTGAGAATGTCCCATGTGGGCTTGAGGAGAATGTGCATTCTGCATTTTTGGGGTGTAATTCTCTGTAGATATCTATTAAATCTATTTGATCTAGCACATCATTTAGTGTCTCTGTATCCTTGTTAATTTTTTTGTCCAGGGGATTTATTTAGTGATTTCACTGCGGTGTTGAAGTCCCCTGCTATGAATTTATTGCTGTTGACTTCACCTTTGAAGTCCTCGAGAAGATTTTTAATATATTTTGGTGTTCCTGTATTCAGTGCATATATGTTTATAAGGTTATATCTACCTTTTGCATAGATCCTTTCAATATTATGTAGTGGCCTTCTTTGTCTCTAGTTATGGCCTTCTTTTTAAAGTCTATTTTATCAGGTCTGGGTATTGCTACCCCAGCTCTTTTTTCCTTTTCTTTTGCTTGGAAGATTTTTTGTCCATCCCTCCACTTTTTACCTATGTGAGTCTTTTGTTGTGAGGTGGGTCTCTTCTAAACAACATATTTGTGAGTCATGCTTTCTTTTCCAATCAGCTACTCTATGTATTTTGGTCGGAGCATTCAGTCCATTTACATTTAAAGTTATTATTGATAAGTACTTCTTTAATGCCCTTTTTGTTTAGTGTGGTTATATATATATTTTTTTGTATTTCTTCTACTAATTACTGCAGTCCTTTTAACATTTTTTTGCAGTGCTGGTTTGGTGCCAAATATTCCCTTAGCCTTTTTTGTCTAGAAAGCTTTTTATTTCACCTTCTATTTTGAATGATAGCCTTTCTGGATAGAGTAGTCTTGGATTTGGATTCTTGTTTTTAATTACCTTGATTACTTCATGCCATTCCAGTCTGGCCTGTGGTGTTTCTGTTGAGAAGTCAGCTGATAGCCTTATGGGGGTTACTATGTAGGTAATCTATTTCTTTTCTCTTGCTGCCTTTAGGATTCTCTCCTTGTCTTTAATTTTTGCCTTTTAATTACTATGTGTCATGGTGTGGGCCCTTTTGGGTTCTTTTGACTTGGAGCTCTCTCTACTTCTTGGACTTGTATGCCTTTTCCTTCCCAAAGTCAGAGGAGTTTTCCATCACCATTTCTTCAAATATATTTTCTAACTCTTGCTCATTTTCTTCTTCTGTAATTTCTATAATGTGTATGTTGTTAGTTTCATGTTGTCCCAGAGTGCTCCTAGGCTGTCTTTCTGTCTGTTTTTTAATTGTTTTTTTTTTTTTTTGATTTTCAGATTGAACGATTTCTTTTACCTTGTCTTCTAACCCATGGATCTTATCCTCGGCCTCCTCTACTCTGCTGGTTATTTTTTCCAATGTGTTCTTCCTTTCTAATTGGTTGGTTTTCAATGCTTCAACATCTTTACTCATGCTGTTGAGCTTCCTCATGATTATTACTCTGAACTCTCCCTTTGATACCTTGCTCAATGCACTTTCATTTATTTCATCTTCTGTCAAATTATTGTATTCTTTCATTTGGGATTTGTTTCTTTGTTTCACCATTTTGGCTGTCTCAGTGGGTTTTGGAGCCTGCCCAACTTTTCCTGTGGGTGTTGGTGTTTCCCTGGTTGTAGCTTCCTCTACTGGGTTTTGATGAGTGTGGGATAACCCATGTTAAACACCACTGTCAAGTCTTAGTTTCCTGGGTAGATGTGAAAGCCCACGAAAGATTCAGTTATCCTCTAGCTTTTTGCCTGGAGGCTATTAGCCTCAGTTACTTGATGAGCTTTGGGTTGTATCCATCAGCTAAATGACAAAAATGCCTCAGGTGTTCAAGGTAAAAGGATTTCCAGAGGGTGGTGTAGATGCCTGCTGGCTCTTAATGTGCCTCAATTTGCATTTTTCTCACCTGGTTATGTGGTGCTAAATTCCTGAGGGAAGGGCTGTTGCTTCTCCTTGGGGCTCTGGGTAGGGGCTCTTTGAGCAAGATTGCTACTGTCCTGTGAGTGAGTAATCCAGTACAAAACTCCCAATGCCTTCCCAGCTCTCCAAGCTCCCCTGTCTGTCCACACAGTTCCAGTCCATTCTGCCCTTCCTGTGCCAGAGACCAAGGTGAATGGTTGAAGCTAATTTAGTGCTTTGTCCTGGCCCTCTGTGCTGTGAAGCTGGCTTGGGATTTTAACCCCAAGGGAGGTGCTCACAGCTGAAACAGCTGCTGTTCGTGGGGTCCCAGCTCCCCTTCTTGTGCCTCCACAGTTCCTATCAGGCTCAATTTCATGTCCTCTTTCTGATCGTGGTTATATGGGTCCTCTCCAGCTATTTTTCTGTTATTGTTTGTACCAAGAATTTGTGTTTATTTTAGTTGTAATTCCAGTTTGGTCCTGGGAGATTATCTGTGTAGCTACCATTCACTCCACCACCATTTTGGAATCCCTTGATCCATCATTTTTTCTCCAAGTGTATGCTTTGTTTCATTTTCAAAAATAAAAAAGTATGTCTTTGTAAATCCTAAGACTGCCTGACGACCTCTCTAGCTTTGTTTCTTATTTTGTTCTTATCGTCTGTCATACTATAGCCACATTAGCCTGCTTTTGGCTTCTAGAACCACCCTTGCTTCCTCTTAAATGTTATCTAGTTCATGCCTACTCATCTTTCAGATGACAGCTCAAATATCACTTTTAGGGAGCCTTGTTCCTCCCTTTTCCTCCAAATTAGATAAGATTACCCATGTTATATACTCTCAGAATCCCTTGTGCAATTCCTCTGTTGCTTTGATCACAGATTATAAATTTACTAGCATAATTGTTTCAATGTTTGTATTCTACACTGTTCTACAAATGTGATGAGGGCAGAGGTCATGTCTGTCTTATACACCATTTTTTTTATGTCTAGCATACTTCTTGCACTCGGCAGGAACTCAGTAATATTAGAATAAATGAATGAGTGAATTGGGGCCACATATAGAGCACAGAACTTGGACTGATGGGAATCAATGCCAGCATGGCAACTTGATACCAAATAGTGAAGGCTATTGGCTGTGAATGATGAAGTATGAAGGCAGATTTATTAGGCAGACCAGGTTGATTGTTGGGAGCCAGGAGGGCTTGGGCTGGATGGGTAAGGTATCCCTGTGCTGGACTGTAGAGGCTCATAATACCCAGATCAGGAGTTTCAGTGGAAGTGTAGGAGTAGAAGCCAGCTGTCAGAATTAAAGAGGTGAACGGACTGTAAGGGTATTGGGTCAGTGTATATAGAGCATTCCTTTTAGAAGCTTAACTGTATAGTAATAGAAGGGATTAAGGAAAGGAGCCTTTTAGAAATTTTAGGGAGATTTTGGGGGGTTGAAAGCAAGAGAAAAGGAAACAGTGTAAGGAATTCATAAAATGAGAAGAATATAAAAGGCAAATAATGGGGGAAAATAGAAAAATGTTTTTGAATCAAAGGTCTTTTGGGAGTGAGGAAGTGGTAAAATCTAGTTAGTTTAGTACTAAATCTACACTTGGTTCTGGAGTAGAGGGACCATGAAGCAATGTACTTGATGGGATACTTCATACAATTCAGGGTAGGTACCTGAATGAGTAACCATTTCCTTTTACTGAGAGGCTGATGGGAAGGTTAAGAAGATAAATATAATGATAGAAATCTCTTTAGCTGAAGGTAAGGGAACAACCTCACAAAAACCATGATGCTTATTGTATGTTGGACATTCTGTTGCCTCCTGGAGAGCACTAAAATGATAGAGAACCTTGAGTGTCTTACTTTGGATCTCTGACTTTGTGCTTTCTCAGGTTTCTGAATACAGTACATGATGTAGTTCATTGTTATTGCTTTTATACTTTTTATTGTTTACAAATGCTGTACTGATTTGTGAGTTCTTGAAACTGTGTTGTTGCATGTTATGTTGACTTTTACCCTGATAGACACATCTGCTTATAATTCATTTTGCTTTGTCTTCAGTTCAGACATTTTGGATGGCAGTAGTAGCAGCAGTAGCAGCAGTGGCTTATCCTCAGACTCACTGGCTAAAATGACAACTGCAGAGTCTCCAGTAGCATGCTCCAATTCATGCCCTCCGTTCACCTTGATGGATGATCTCTCACCCAAGTGATTTGCCCATTTCTGATTCACTGTTTTAACTGCTGTTTCCTACATAAATCATTCAATGAGAGGAACGCAGAGAACTTTGATCCATAATGAGGATTAAAGTATTACATTTTAAAACCATTTTGACACCATTCTATTTTGGCATCTCTCTTCTCTTAAGTTCAATGTTATGAGCATAGTGACCTTACTTGTTTCTCTTTTTGTTGGTCACATTTTGCATCTAGTGACTAAATATCAAATACTAATTTTAATTGCTTAGAATATATACATGTGTATTCTCAGTGCCTCAAAGAGCACCCATTTTAGAGTCTATACATTTAAGGAAAGCACTGATATGTATTCTCATTAATGGTTTCTTCTCCTAGCAGTGATATGACAGCTAAAGTTGCTGTTTGAGCTGCTTACTTGCCATTTCTCACAGAGCGGAAGAAACACGTAGTTGCTTTCATTACTACCCATATTGCTTGTTTGCTTTTGTGGTGTTTGAGGTGAGGATTGATTTTAGTGCTGAAACTGTAAATGGATTTACAGGATGCCTGGAGTAGTCACTACAAGTTCTTATGACTTAGCTACCACAGTTTATATTTTTCTCCCAAATCTGTTACCCTAAGAAATATGTAAAATATTATTAATGTTTCTAGGTGGTGTTATCAAGGAGAAGAAATTCCTGCCTTGACCAGATGTGTGGAGCATCTACAAATGAATGAATAATGTTATTTATACACAAACCACTGTCTAGAAAAGTAAATGTGAAGCTTGACAGCTTGTCTTGGGTTATATTATGAGGCCGGAGGTGCCTTGTGGCACAGTGCTGTGCTATAAAGATGTGCTGTAATGATTATAAGGTAGAGTAGAAGAGGAGACATTAAGTGACTTCCACATGCTGCCTTGATTGCTGCTTTTTTCTGATTATTTTCTTCACAATATTATTTTACTTTGTCATGGGTAAGTGGCGCTGCCAACTGTGTTTTGGTCATTGTGTTGCCAACAGAATCAGAATCCAGTTCTTGTTCATGCTGCCTTATAGCAAGGGCAGTTTAATATCTATGAGGATATTTTAGGAGTCAAAAAATATCAATGTTATTATGAATTCTGCTTTAAAGAAGCTGTTTGAGCTATGAACATTGTACATGATAGTGAGTCTGAGGTACCATAAGTTAATTTTTAAAAGGAAAATCCTGAAGGGAGCTATTTTAAAAACCTAAGTGTGGTTTATTGTTGTGTTATTTAATGATTTAAAACTATTTAAAAATGTCTGTCATGATATATTTATTTTAATGTTCAGATATTGTAGGTGGATAGTTTGTATTTAACATGCAAATTTGCCTGCTAGGATCGTAGTATTCCATTTTTTAATGTATGTAAGAAACAAAAACGACTGCACTTAATGTGTTTTAAAGGCAAAGATCCTTGAATCTTGAAAGAAGATGTTGTATTTTGCAGGTACTCACAGACTAGTAATACTGTATGGCTTGAAGGGAAACCTATTCTCTTTGAATTTTAAGATAGCATCACTTAGCTAGCAGTAAGTAGTTCTGTTACAGCATCAGATGCATTATTTTAAATTGTATTAACCACCATAGTGGTCACTAATGGCTTTATTTCTCATATTGCTTTCACCTGTGCAAAGGCCATAATCTTTCAAACCTAACATAAATGTGTATACTATGAAGATTTTCCCCTAGAATGCCAATTTAAAGAAACTTTACTTCTATGGTATTCAGTGTATGTATTCTGTTTATGAAAGAACCATGTTAAGATGTTTCTGCCTATATCATACTGAGATGGTTTGATCTTATAGTATACTTATGCACATTCACTGTACTATCTTTTTGCCTTAAAGGGCCACTTTTGGCCACTTTTTGGCTCTAATTTAGAACTCTCAAGAAATAACCTTTGGAATGTGATTATATATTTTTTTCAAATTCAGTGGTGGGGTAGAATTAGAGTAGGAAAATGAAATTGTTCCAATGGTACGAGAACTAGGAAGGAAGATGATTCACTTTGTTTTTCAAACGGACTACAAACTTAAGTTTGTGCAGGGATTGTTTTGAAATAAATGAAAGGTAGAGATGCTAATCTTTAGATTAGCTTGATTGACATTACCCCTTTATTTTTATATAAAGTTTAATATGTGAAAAGTAATCATTATTATAAATTAAAATGATTTCTTCCTACTCTATATTATATTATATTTTAGGTTTTTATTTGAAAATAAATATAAGAGATGATATGGTAAGAAAATCTTATAGATGATGTTCTTTTTGCTTGACTGACTTATATAATCACTGTATTTCATGGTAACTGTTTTTGGAATAATAGAAAATTTTGTGAAATGCTTACCTTGTATATACCTTAGAATGCAAATTTAATAAACTGTGTACAAATGCATAAAATTCTGTAAAATTTATAAAAGTGTATTTCTTTTATTCTAATTAATAATGATTTTCTGCCTCTGTAGCCCAGTCAAGTTTTGAATAAAAGGGTATCAAGAACACAAAGGAACTAATAGCTATACTAAAGTTTGGGCTGTTTCCAAAAACAGAGACCTCTCCCCATAATCTGTCAAATGTTCAAGAGCAGTTTTTAGATTTTGACAATTTAGAAGTTCTTGCCAAGACCACATGTATTTCTTACTTGTTTTCAGTTTATTTTATCTTGTTTGTTTTTACATATTCATAAGACTAAATTGTTTCCAGAACTAGATGGAGGGGTAGACAGGCAAAAATAAAAGCCTTTTTGTATGACTCAGGTTACAAATACTCAATTTTCTTTTCAGTATTTTTAAATTATGTGAACTCCTTTATTTTACACTTACAAAAAAGTTGTATGAATAGCCCAAAGAATTCCCATATATCCTTCACCTAGGTTTCATAATTGTTGACATTTAATCACATTTGCTTTATCACACACACACTCTCTCTCTCATATGTATGTGCATATATTTTTGATGTGCACACTTTTTTTTTTGAACCACCTAAGTGATATACCCCTATTATCCTTAAATGTGTCAATGAAAATTTTCTCAAGACTTGGACACTCTACATAACCACATTACAACTATCAAAATTAGGAAGTTAACTTTGATACTATTTAATCTATAGACCCCTTTCAAATTTTGCCTATGGTCCCAATAATGGTATTTTAGTAAAAGGAAATATATTTTATCTGGCCCAAGATTAAAGTCAGCATTATGTATTACATTTAACCATCATGTGTCTGTGGTTGTTTTCCTCAGTCTAGAAGACCCCAGTCTTCCCTTGTCTTTTGTGACCACATTTCTGAAAAGTGCTGGCCAGACATTGTGAAAAATGTCTCTTAATTTAGGTTTGACTGATGTTTCCTCGTTATTAAATTCAGGTTTTTTTGTTTTTTTTGTTTTTTTTTTGCTTTGGGAAGAAATACCACATAAGTGATGCTATGTTCTCAATATATCATTGCAGGAGGCACATGGTGTCACTGTCCTATTACTGGTGATGGTAACCTTGATCCTTTGGTTAAGTTGGTGTCTACCATGTTATTCCACTGAACAGTTAGTGTTTTCCCTTTGAAATTAATAAAATATTTTGTATAGAGATACTTTATTTATTTTATTTCATTTTTTTGTGGTATGTGCCCCCAGCAGGAACGGAACCTGGGACTCTCTGGTCTGCAGGCCGACGCTCAACCGCTGAGCCAAACTGGCCAGGGCTGTATAGAGATACTTTGAGAGCATATAAATACTTTGTTTTCTCATCAAACTTTCACTCACTATTATTAGTATCCACTGATCTTTCTTTCCTGATGGTATTATGATGGCTACCTAATGGTGACTCTCTATCATTTCTATTACATTTATTAATTGGTATTCTACTGTAAAGAAAAAATTTCCCTTCTCTATCATTTATTTAAATCAATGTGGACTCATAGACTCCTATTTTAGTCAATAGGTTTTAATCCATTACCATGATTATTTTGATATTCATCTCTAAGATTTGGACAGTGAATGCCCCTCCAAACCAGCTCCTATGTCCTGTTGACAAATCCTTATAATTTTTTGAGCAGTGTTATACTTTATGGCATAAGATGTCTTAGATTAATAAGTTCCTTGCCTCAGCCCTAGGATCAGCAATTTCTCTAAGGAGTTCTGATTAAAAGGCTCTCATTAAAAGGGATCATGGTATTTCAAAATCAAGGTATAGGCTAGGCACTGGTATAATCATTGCCACTTGGGCATCATGGTTTAAAGGCCTTCTCAGCACAGGTGTATAAATCCACACATATTTATATCTATTTATCTATATAAAAATAATGAGTTCAAACTTTTACCTACAATTCCAGTTCAATAGCAAACAGTTTATTTCAGTGCCTACCCTATTCATATTTATAATTCCATTCTCAGGTAGTGACAAACCTAGTTCCCTTTACCCTCAAAATAATTGCTCAATTATACTATATGTAACCAATTTCTGACCCTGCTACCCTGGCTACCTTGTCAGCCCACCCACCTCTTCGACTCCAACCCTCAGGCCCCTCCAGCCCTGGCTGCCTCTATGAAGTGAAAGGGAAGAGGATCTAAATACTCAAGTTTTATGCATTGCTTGGCATTGCAGCAAGAGCTGGAGGGGCAGCTTTCTCCCAGACAGACATGCTGGTGGAGGTAGCTGTTGCTTTGCTGAGCCCTTTCCCCACAGGGCTGGCAGGAAGACACCATATCTGGGACTTCAACAACCTGGTTCACAGTGTTTGCCCTGGTGACTCCCTGAGGCCCTGCCCAACCCAACTTTTGGGCCCACCCAAGCTGTTTCCAGTGGCTTTACCATAGGAATGGCCTGTCTTGGCTCATGCTTTGGATTTTCCTAAAATTTCTCAAACAAGCAACATCTGGCCTCAGCAAGCCCCATACCTCTTGCTAAGTGGCCCCAGGGCCAGCACTAGCAGCAGCCAGCCTTGGTTCATAGCCGGTCCTTTCCTGGGCACCTCCAAACCCAGTACAAGAAGTACCTATCTGCAGATCACTTTGTA